GCCTAAATGCAGGGACTTTCAGCTCTACCACTTTATGGCTGGATAACCTACGGCCAGTTAGTTTAAATGTTCTGCTCCTCGGTTTTCTCACCTGTAAAATGAGGGTGATAAGCATATCTTCTACAAGGAGTTGCTATGCAGATTAAAGGTATATATATTAAAGGCATATATATGTATACACGTATATATACACTCATGCATACATCTCCTTGGCAGGTATTAAAGGCCATATAAGTGAGTCTTATTGTTACTATTACCATGCCTACAATCAACACAAAGAGAAAAGTGATATTGTTGGGCTTCATTATTTCGACGCTCTATCACAAACCACTTTCTTGGTAAGTATCTCTGGGATTATCCTAGAGAGGAAACATGATGTGGATTTGGGGTGTCTTAATTAGAGTGTCATAGTTATGACTGCATGGCAAATTTCAAGATAAAAGACATACATAGAACACATAAAAATAACAAATGATTTGAAAATTCATAATATGAAACTTTATTCATGAATGATTTATGTATGGTTAATTATCTTCAAATTAGGAATGTTCTGAGATTTTCTCGACTATTCATGGCACCTTTTCTGTTCTGTATCAAGAATGATACTATAAAAAATATATATGTAAAATATCAGTTCCGTTTGGTGTAGTAATAATATGTTATTGAGTTAGTGATAAATATCATTGCATTCTTTGGCCAATTAAAAAAGCAAACGTTTATTTTAAAACATAACATAATAAAATAAAATTAAAAAAAATAAAACTTCCAGTATTTTGTCTTTTATCACTCTGTAATAAAATGTGTCATCCAAATCCATTTTTGTTTTATTGAGATATAAGTCACATACCACATAATTCATCCATTTAATGAATATAATGTGATGATTTTAAGTATATTCCCAGAGTTATGAAATCATAACCACAAACAAGTTTATAACATTTTCATCATCCCCAAAAGAAACTCTATACTCATTAGCACTCACCCTCCATGATCCCTCCCCACTGCTGCTGGCAACCACTTTCTGTCTCTATAGATTTGCCTATTTTGGACATTTTGTATAAATGGAGTCATATGATATGTGGTCTTTTGTGTCTGCTTTCACTCAGCATATTTTCAAGGTTCATCCATATTGTAGCATGCATCAGTACTGTACTCCTTTTTATCCCAAATAATATTCTGTTGCATGGATATACTGCACACTGTTTATCCATCCATCAGCAGATAGACACTTGAGCTGTTGTTTTTAGCTATTATGAATAATGCTGCTGTGAACATTTGTGTATACATTTTTATGTGGACGTATGTTTTCATTTCTTTTGACTATATACCTAGGAGTAAAATTGCTGGATCAAATGTTAGCTCTATGTTTTATCTTTGAGGAAATGCCAGACTGTTTTCCAAAGTGGCTGCATCATTTTCCCTGTCCACCAGCAGTGTAAGGTTCCAACTTCTCCACATCTTTGCCAGCACTTGTTACTATCTCTTTTCTTACAGCCATCGTGTCAGTATAAAGTGGTATCCAAATGCTTTTTAAAGATGCAAAACCATAAAGATACATTGGGCAAGGAAGTAAAATCTTTTATGAAAAGGGAAAGAATGAAGAGATTAGGAAAAGGACCCCGCAGTCAGGCTGGAAAAGGAAGCAGGAGATATTTCTAAGTTTGCTAGTTAATTTCATGTCCTTATGCAACCAACTGCCCTTCAAAGTGTCAGGATTGTGGAGCCAGCCCTCAATTTCACAGCTGGAGCTTATAATAATCATAACAATAACTAAATCTTGGTTTATTGTTTATTTTGCAAAGTTCCCTCCCATATTCTAGCCCATTTGATTCAACACCACAAATCTTCTGTGGAAGGATATAATTAATTCCCATTCTGCAGGTAAGAGTACTGAGGCCCAGAGCAGCTGACATGACCAAGGGAATATGGTTAAAAATATATACATACATATGTACATGTGTGTTTCACTAATAGTTAATATTATATTTAATACATAGCATTAAATAAGTATATTTATTTTATATCAAAATATATATTTTATATATATGTATATATGTGTGTGTATATATACATATACATATATATGTATATGTATGGCATTAAATAAATAAAATGCACAGAGCTGGGCCTGGAAGCCAAATTTTTTATTTCAAATCCCAATCCTTGGTGTCCCAGTTCCTTATCACTTTCATTTGCCTTATCTCTGACGACCAAGAAAGCAGTGCAAAAGCAAGAGAGGACAAAGGGAATTGTATGGGAAGCAGTTAGAGGTAGGAGGCCTGCACATCACAAAGTCCCCCCAATCAGACTGTGGGAAAGCACCTAAGGATGTAAGGACACGTTGTGACAGGGATAGCAAGGATGGTTGCAGTCCCACCCCTTTATGAGAGGTTCCTCCAGTAATCAAGAAGCCACTGAAATCCCTAAATTCCGAATATATCATCTGTACTGTATGTAGTATATTTAATCACATGCACTCATCATTCAAATATTTATTAAGTAATAACTATGCTCTAGACACAGTGCTAACATGGTTGAGATTTTAAAAAGCAGTGATTATAATTTTCCAGAGTAAAATTAAATAGTGAACATTTTCTAAGCCGGATCATCTCATTTAATCCTCACAACATTCTTGCAAGAGATGTGGAAACAGGCCTAGAGAGTGACTCAGTAAACTGACCCCAAAGTCACAGAACTATTAAATGGTGAGGCAGGATAAAAACCCAGGCAGCCTGATTCTATACCCTGTGTTCTTAACCACCACCCAATCCTTCCTGCCAGATCTCCCTTGGCTGGAAGTCACACGTGGTGACGCAAAGAGACCAATAATACTGATTAATTCCAGCAACCATTGTTGAATGCTCATTCATACAGAAGCTCAAGGGCAAATTCCCACAACAACGCTATGAAGTACTAATCTTCATTTCCATTTCATAGATGAGGAAACAAAGGCTCAGAGAAGTGAATTAACTGGTCAAAAGTCACAGAGCTATAATAGTTAATGCTGACATGATGCTTACTGTATACCTGCCACTGTTCTAAGCACTAGCTCATCTAATCCTCATAACAACACTATGAGATAGGTTCCATTACTGCCCAGTATTCTTAGTTAAGTAACTTGTTCAAGGTCCCAGGCTAGTAAGTAGCAAACCCAAGATCCACTCTGACTAAAAGTCAGTTTTGAAAACAACTTAATGTTGACTATTGGCTACAAAGTGGCTGAGCAGAAATTCAAACCCAGGTCTGGCTCTTGAATGAAAAAGAGCCTTCTCTCTTCCTACCAACAAGCTAAGTGGGGCCCTCAAACCTACTTTAGTACAGAGGGGTGCTAGGGAAAAGGAGAGTAACAACTGCTCTGGAGATCCCCAAGGAAAGGGCATTTAAGCTGCCTACTGAGGGACAAAGTGCTTCCTGGACAAAGACAGGCACCATTCAATTTGTTATTTTAAAAGAAATGAGGGGCACCTGAGCGGCGCAGTTGGTTAATTGACTCTTGGTTTTGGCTCAGGTCGTGATCTCAGGGTGGTGAGATCCAACCCCTCCTCAACTGGCTCTCAGTGAGGAGGCTCTTTCAGTTTCTCTCCCTCTCCCCCTTCCCCTCACCCCCTTTAAAATAAATAAATAAATCTTAAAAAAACATTAAAACTACCGGATAAGGACTTTGAAAAAGATGACACAGTAACGAGGAGCAAATAAATTATTAAAAAGCAAATGCTTCAGATTGAATCAGAAAAGCTTTTGATTTTTATTCAATTAGAAAATGCTCTTGATGAAGGAAAAACAAGCTTTTATTCCCTTTAATTTTGACTATACGTTTAAAAATCATCAAGGGATTGAAGTGTGCAATTTGCCTTTTGTAACGTTAAACTCAACAAACTCGGACTTCCAATATTTACTTCCTCAATCTAACTGCTGCAAGCAGGGTGGTTACTAAACCTTCATGGATCTTTGCAAAGATTCTCTCTCCTTCAGGTCCTGAAACACAGCATCTAGAAACCAAAAGGAGCCTGGAGATTCAGGCCAAGCCTTAGAAGGAACAGGCGCGCGCCTCATGCCAGCTGGGCCAGGGACCGGCACGCTTCAGAGCCAGGGTTTGTTTTTTTCCCTGGCAAACTGATTTATGACCACACGACGGGCAGCTGCGGAACCGGTCAGGCCATAGAAGTACATTACTCAAACATGAATCCAAGAAGGACCGGGATGGGATGCCAGTGGTAAGGGCGGGGCGGGGGGATCTGGGGTTCACTGCCTGTCCCGGGTGCGGTGAGACCCGTCAATTCCTAATTCTTGCAGCAGCCCGGGGCCGATGGACTCTGCTCTCCAAAATGTGCGCGCTAGGGAAGTTGGCAGAGCAGCAGGGCATCCGGACAAGGTGCCTCCACGCCCCCTCGCGGACGCCACTGATGATTGACGGGGACGTGCCAATGTAGCGATAGGTAGTTTTTCAGAACCTGGGGTTTAGCCCCCATAACACCCCGTCAAGGGAGTCCCGGCGATCAGCCTCATTTTACAGACGAAAACGCTGAGCGTCAGAGGAGTGCAGCAGGATTTGCCAGCAAAGAGGAAGACCTCAAGTCAATCGTTGGGTTGGCCCTTTCATCTAGGAGTCAAGAGGCTGGGGCTGGAGGCAGCATGGGGCTGCACACCCACCCTCTCGCGCTCTGGACGCACTCGGGGTCGCCTGGCAGCCAAGAGGCCTGGCAGCGCCAGGTGCCCGGGAAGAGGGAGCGCGCGACTGGTGGCGGCGCGTCCGCGGGGCGCAGGGCACACCACCCGCTGCTGTGCGTCCGCCTCGGAGCCCCGCGCCGGTGCCGAGTCGCAGGGCGCCCGGCTGCAGCCGGCTAGGCAGGGGCGCGACGCCGACCGTCCACGCGCCCGCAGCGGTCCCGGAGCCCCGCGCGAGTCGCAAGGCACGAGCCACGCGCGTGTGCGCGCCGGGCTGCTGCGGGCACAGGCTGGCAGTGCCACGGCGCGCCCACCGGCACTGCCCCACGCCTTACCGTAGCTGCTCCCCGGTGACCAGGACCTCAGCCATGCGCTCCAGCTCCCTTTGCTGCGCGCCACCACTCCCGCTGGTGCTGCTGTCGCTGCCACCGCTGCCACCGCTGCCACCGCTGCCGCCCTCCTCCATGGTCGGGCCGCGCCGCTACCACTGTCTTCCCTAGCCGCCTTGGGTTTGGGTGTTAAATCAGCCTGCCCCCGCCGAGGCCTCCCCCGCCATCTTTGTTAGGGGCAGTCCCGTTGCTCAGACGCGATTGGCTGGAGGGGGAATCCCTGTGGGTAGGCTGAGGTGCTAGGCAAGTAGGCTCCAGGAACTCCAGCTCGGGGCGGTGGCTGGAGCCCCGCGTGGTCGGGGGGCGGGGCCAAGGGGGAAAATATAAACATCTGGGCGGGGCGTGGGTCTGCGGTGTGTGTGCTGGTGGAGGTCGGATAGGTGACCTCGCTCGTCGTTACCCACACAGCTAATGCCGTGGGACCTTGGGGACAGGCCAGGAGGTTACTAGACAAGTGTGAAGGTATTTTTATTATACTGTCTATACTCCAAATTGCCAGAGTAAAAATAATAACAAAATAGCTAAATAGTGAACAATGAGGGATATAGGGATATACACGTCACTGCAGGGGTTGGTGAAATTAGGCATTTTTCTCGTCCCAATCCCCCTCACCTAAGACAGCTTACTTACCTTATAGTGTAATCAACAAAGAACGCTGGCCTGGGAATCAGACCTGGGACCCAGCTCCCACCTATGTGCTTAATCCTCAGTTTCTTCCTTTACAAAATAAAAATAACTGTGGATACCACTTGTTGACATCTACTGCATTAAAGATGCTTCAGGTTGTTGTTACAAATCATAAAATGGGTATTGTCCTCCTTTTACATCAGGAAGCAGGCTCAGACAGATGGTGTAACTTGTCCAAGGCAAACATAATAAATGCAAGAAGAATCAAACCCAGGACATTCTGGCTTCAGAGTTGTGTTCTTAAAAGACTGCTTCTTAAAACAGGGATATAATGGTATTGTTGACTTTCCGGGGAAGATGGAAGGAACTTTGACTAATACCAAATAAATGTTCTGTTATTCTGTCTTATGCAGGGTCAGAGCCTGGTCTACAGGAAAACCGAGTAATGCTAATGGCAGAGGTCATTATAGTAAGGAGATACCTGTGTGTTGACATTTTATGCAGCTTTTTATAATTCTTGCATGTATACAAGTCTCTGCACCTTTACAAGTAAATGTGAAATTTTTTTTAGTGAATACCATATGGAAAGACAATCTTTCAGTTGCAGATTTGTCGTAAATCTACAGAATAAAAATGAAAATGAGAGGGCTATTGAAAAGCAAATTATCTTTGTATATTTTATACCAATTCTGCTATTCAAAAGTATTTATACTCACTATCCTTCCGGTTTTGGTGCAAGACAAAACACCTTTTCTCACATCATCTCTAATCTTTAAATTATTAGTAGGCCTGGAAAATGAAGGAGAATTGCAGACCTGGCCCCCCTAAATCTCTTTTATTTAATGATTTTAAGCTTTTCTGTAAGTGCAGAATGAAAAAAAATTAAGTTATTACACTTTTCTAATTATCCATTGTTCAACACTGTTTTATCCAAAAGCTCTGGCTACATATTGTAAATCATCACTATTGTTGCTTGCCTTGTTTTTTCTTCCTTTAAATCTAATTGTGTTTTCATTTAAATTTTGGCAACTTTTTCTGAGAAACAAAAGAAATATTTTTTTGCAAAATACTTGTTTAATAGTTCATAATTAAAAAATCATGATAAAAAAACTTTTATCATGAAAGTTTATGATTTAAAAAAGCACCTTGACATACGGAAAAAAATTCAAGTCCGGAAAACACCTTGTACTGCTCCAGTGAGAGAGAGCAGAATTTATTTCTCTTGCTTGATGAGAAGGGTTTTCGGTGTCTGTACATGTGAATGGAAAGTGGGAATTGTTTGCTATCATTGTTTCAATCTTTCTTTTGACATATGAGACACACCATGCTCTACTGGGTTAGAAGACAGATCCTTTTTCCTAACTTAGGGAAAGATTGGTCTGACTCCTGAGGACATGTGAGCACCCACACAGCCTATGAGCTCAGGAGCAACTCTCCCAGAATAGACTGTGATCTACAGGTGTTTCTGGAAGAGGGATAAGCACTGACATGGTGATTAAACCAAGTGTGAAGATCTTAGAAGGGCTGAAAATTCCAACAGACCTCGGCTTGATTCTTAGCTCCATTGGGGCAGGTTCATTATTATCTCTAATTTTTGCCCTCTTCTGTAAAGTCAAGATCATACTACTAATCTCGTTGGGGTTTGGGGAGGATTAAAGAAAATTTAATGAGCACACTTGTTACAGGTGGGAACTATTAAATGTAAGCCTTTTCTTCCAGCTTGTCCTACTCACCTGCTTTCTGCCTTCTGGCTGTTTTGGGGCTTGGAGCCAGTGCTTCTCAAACTGAGGAACAGGTGTGTTTGGGCCTGCGCGCGCATGTGCGCGTGTGTGTTTTCAATCCACTGAAGCTTGACATTCTGGTAAAATACAATGGAAATGAAATTTTTAAATGTACAAAACACAGCCCAATTTGCTATTGTTGTGGTGAACAGATAGCAGATTGGCAAATTGTTATAAACATTTCTCTCAATGTCTCAGTGTCTCTCAATAAAGGAAAAAGGTCACCAGTTGGCAGCCCACACTTTTAGGAGTACTGGTTAAGGGTAAGCTGCAATGTGAGAAGATGAACTTGAATAAAATGTGTGAAAGAATATTGTCAACTCTGAAGCTTAATAACAGGTAGCTATGGGTGGTGGGGTTGCCTCTTTGTATACGTGAGTATTGTTCCCACCTGATCTGAAAGATGAACTCAGACCCCATCTTCTGGGTGCTGTCCTCTCACACTCCCTCGAGCACTGTGTTGTTCTTCCCTGTGCCTCTCCTGATATCAGAAGGTTTATGTTGCTTTTTTTAAAAAGATTATATTTATTTATTTGACAGAGACATAGCGAGAGAGGGAACACAAGCAGGGGGAGTGGGATAGGGAGAAGCAGGCCTCCTGCCGAACAGGGAGCCCGATGCAGGGCTTGATCCCCGGACCCTGGGATCATGACCTGAGCCGAAGGCAGGCAGACGCTTAACGACTGAGCCACCCAGGCGCCCCGGTTTATGTTGCTTTTAACCATTAATGGGAGTCTCTGTTCCTCAGCTGCCATGATTTTTAATCTCTTTATGTGAATAGAAGCAAATGGATGGGTTAGTATTATTTCTGTTGACAGATCCTTTAAGAAGGGAAAAACAAATGTAGAGGGAAAATAAAATGTTCATCTGTCATAATTCACATCCTTTTTAAATATTTTTGTCATGTTTGATTCATCTTTTTTTGTAGTGACAGAAATCAAACATTACAGATAAATGTGAGGTCCTCTTGTCCTCCAATCCCAGTCCTGCTCACCTCCCAAGACGTTCTTAATGCTGTAAGGGCAACAAAAATACTCAATACTTTGGTATATACTGTCACCTAGTGATTGATTTTGTAATGACACTAAATGATAGTGGGTCTCCTACAGGAGAAAGACCACCCCCAAGAAGACATTTTTGGAAAATTTAGGACCGGGTTGTGGTATTGTCACTGGCTTTTAGTGAGCAGGAACTAGGGATGCTAGATACTCTCATTTTCCTGGGACAGTGGCCTCATAAAGAATTGTCCTAAATCCCGAATGTTTTTCCTAGGTCCTGTGGGATATTCTTGCAGATGAAAAACCTGTTCGCTGTTAGCTTAGAACCTAATTTGATTTTACATAGAAACACAAAATATTTTTTGCACAATTTTAATATAATTCTGACTTGTCCAGGAATACAATTATTATGCACATTGAGAAAAAAAATTGTACTTTGCTCAGATTTTACCAAGAAAGTTTCATCATTAGATAAAATTGTTTCATTTGTCATTTGTGGTAAACACACTATGAGTACAGCACACCTTTTTCAGTCTGCACTTCCTTTCAGTTAAGAGGTTGCATGTGTGGTGATTCTATGTGTGTTTGTATATTATTTAGCCAAATTTTAGAATGCCAAATATAAAAAGAAGTGATAGCAATATTCAGTAAACTTGTCTCCTGTTATTCTAAAATTATTCATTATAGGGGTGCCTGAGTGACTCAGTTGGTTAAGTGTCTGCCTTCAGCTCAGGTCATGATCCCAGAGTCCTGGGATCGAGCCCCATGTTGGGCTTTCTGCTCAGCAGGAAGTCTGCTTCTCCCTCTCCCTCTCATTCCCTGCTTGTGCGCTCTCTCCTTCTCCCTTTCTCTCTCTCTCAAATAAATAAAATCTTCAAAAAATTTTTTTTAATTTAAAAATTATTCACTATAAATAGTTGTATACATCTGACCATCTCACTAGACCTTCTATGGTCACTTAAATATTAAAATACATTTTATTTTATTATAGATGATTTTCTTTTTCTTATACTCCAGTGTAAGGGCATCATATTGATTTTATATATATATATATATGCACGCTGAAAGCTTTTGAGAACATTGGTGTATTTTGAACAGAGGAATGCCATGATCTGACTTCCATTATTACAAAGATGGCTTGAGGTAACATATAGGAAATTCGGTTCTGTGCTTGATGCAGTAAATACGTTAATGGATATTCCTTCTCTTTTCTAAGGCAGTAAGTGAACCGGGCAAAACAGGCCACTCTGTGAAACATGACACAACACCACCATCTAGTGGGCAAAATCCTGTTTCATAAGCAAAGCTTTGTTTCATAAGCAAAGCTTCAAAAGTTTACTTAGCAAAGAAGGTGCAGTTAAAATTTAAACTGCTGTATATCCTGTAGAATTAGAGACATCTTGGTGTAAATCAGAAATTCCTTATCTGAAATGATTTTAAGTAAAAACAAAGTAATATAATTTCCAAGACACTGCTTTGATTCCATTTCTCCTATCATGAAATTATTTCCCTAAGGAAGTCTTTCTTTTCCTCCCTCCCTTCTTCCCTCCCTCTCTCCCTCCTTCCTTTCTTCCTTCCTTAGTAGGCTCCATGCCCAACATGGGGCTTGAACTCAGAAACCTGAGATTCAGAGTCCCATGGCTCTACTGACCGAGCCAGCCAGCCACCTGAGGAGGTATTTCTTTCAAGGCTTACACTTCAAATGTTGCTGAGCCTTCATTTTTTAGCTGAGTTTTTAAAGTCACTGAGGGAGTTCAGAGCAGGCTGCCCCAAAATATGCCCCTTT